AATAACTCAAAAAAATTAAAGAATTATTTTTCTTCGAAATTCTATTAACGAAATATTACTTCCATTTAAAAAAGCTACAATATTATATTTATATAGATTTACTGAATGTTAAAATAATATAAAAAAACTAAGAGAAATTTTAAATAAAATTTATAAACTAAAGTATATAATATATTTACATATACTAAGAGTCATATATCTACTAAATTTTATGTTAAATAAATCACTAATTGTTTTAAATAATATGATGAAATATACAACATAGTTAATAGTCTAATATAAATAAATTGGAACAGATAATTGTATCCTTTCGAAAGAAACAAATATTCAAGAAAAAGTAATAAGTAAATGAAAAAAAGAAAAAGAATCCGAAATTAAAGCAGTTAATTTAGCAATGCCAATTATATGCCAAAAACATAATCGTAAACTCATAGCAAAACATACTATATAATAGAAATAGAACTTATTTACATGTACCATACGCCAATTTAGAAACAAATTTGAATATTTAAATAAATATGTAATTATTTACGGTTTTACTGAAAAAAAACGGCACATATAATTTCGATAATTTGGCCGCTTCTTTCGCGCAGTGGCATTGCCGCCTCTTGTACACCCATTGTATTTGTCACTGCTCTAATGATAATAAAAAGTAGGGAAGGGTAATTTTTATTTTTGGTAAAAGCATCATGGCATAATGAATTTTAAATTACTTACTGGAGGTCCCGTCACTGTTGATTTAATATCGGGCTTGGTAGTGGAATTAGATTCTTGTAATTGCTTGTTATAATCTATTTGTTTCAGTAATTCCATTTCCAATTTAGTCTTTTCTTCAAGCAATGCTTCTTTCAATTTCTTCTCTTGTTGGAAATCTTCTTCATACAACATTAATTGTGATCTTAATAATTCTATTTCTTCTTTCTATACAAAAAATAATATTATAAAAATAATAAAATTTAAGATGTAGGTATTTATTTAATATTAGAATGTTATGTAAAGCGTATTAATTCAAATAAAGAAAAAATTCACTTACACTTTGAACAAGTTGCTCCATTATTTGTTTATAATCCGCATTCCTCCTCTCAATTTTTTGTTGCAAATTATCTAACGTATCCTGCAAATGTTCGTAACGAGTTTGCAATGCTTTCTTCTCTTTCTGTAGATCTCTTTCGCAATTTTCATATAACTGACTCTGATGATCGAGTGACATTTTTTCTTCGTTCAAACTGATTTTTTCTTGTTCTAAAAACTTCCTCTCACTGTTTAACGATATACGCTCCATTTCCAAACTCTTTTTCTGGCTTTCAAGAGATCTTTTTTCTTTCTCTAGATTATCTTTTTCCTGATCAAGACTTCTTTTTTCTGTTTCCAATGATTGCTTGTCATATTTAATTTGTTCTAATTGCTCTAATTTTTGTGAACTCTTGCGAGCGGTATTGTCTTTCAAAACATTCAACTTTGTATTTTCATCCATCATGATTTCTAATTCGTATAAAATGGAGTTGTAATCTGAAAATATCTTTTGGAACTGATTCTGTGATTTAATTAGTGTCTGTCTGTCAGTAATAATTTTCACTTGTTCATCAGCTAACTCTTTGCAACACTGGCATAATTTTTCTCTATCTTGCACTTTATTACTATCATTATCATAATTGAGAATGTCAATAATATTTTTCAAATTTTTTTCTATTGCAGCAAAGTGATCCATTTGTATTACAAAACATTCGCTTAACTCTTGCAACATGTCGTTATATTGTTTTATATTCTGTGCGAACTTCTGACGATTTAAACCGGATGTTTCCGATGAATCAGGTAATTGGATTGGAGTAAGCACCTGTAAATATTAAAGATAATTCGATGTTTGTTTTTCTAATTCAGTTATTAAAAATTTTTAGCAAATTATATTTTATACATACACATTGTAATTTCTGATCAAGTAGAGCAATAGATTCTTTCAAGCGAGCAATTTCTTGATCTTTTGCAAAACATGATTTTGAACATTTCAAACTTTCTACAGTCTTAGAAGTGTCACTGCTTTCGCAACTTAATGACTTCATTGCCGACTCTAACTCTTTTTCCACTATTGACTGTTGCATTTTCTGTTGTAACTCTTTATCGGCAAGCTTTTCAGATATTATAGATGTTATATATTCTTTACATTTTTCGATAGCTATTTTTGATATTGCGCCTGTAAGTTTTGGCATGTCTTCATCAGAAGTCATAATATCAGATTCAGAAAAGGTACTAATTGCCTAGAAAAAAAAATGAAATGTAGAATGAGATTGTGCACAATATATATATATATATATATATATATATATATATATATATATATATATATATATATATATATATTATAATATAGATATAAACATACTTCATATCCCATATCTTCAGCATGTTGCAAGAGTGAAAGTTTGGCTTTCAACTCACAGTTTTCCTTCTTTAAGAAATTTATTAATTCTTTAGTTTCCGCAAATTTTTGCTTATGGTTTTGATGAACCTTTGTTACTTCCTCTTGCCACATTGCCAGAGTATTAAACTGCTGTTTCATTGAAATATTATTCTGTCTCAATGTTTCTTTCAATTTTACATTTTCTTGCAACATCTCGGTCAATCTTTGCTGCATTTCGGTTAGAGACAGTGAAGACACAATTGATTTGTAATCCTAAAAAGAAAAAAAATTGTTTTTTATTTCAAGCAGTTTATAATAAAAAAATAAAATTGTAATTTACGTACAATTGACATGCTCTTCTGTTGAATATCAACATAAGAAGCCAACAAAGAAGCCTGAACATCTACCGAATCTTTACCCAGTACTATAAAAGATAGACTATCATTTTCATTAGTACTGATATTAGTCAATGGATTTATATTTAGAGTTGTAGTAACAGGTTCATCTAATTTAAATAAAGGTTCGTTATTCTCTACATTAATTTTTGATGCTTTGGGATTTTCAAGCTGAGTTGGATCCATATTTCACCCGCTCGCTACTTCAAGCTAGCTACTCAATCTTGTATAAAATTTAAGAATCACTGCGTATAATCTGTAAATTGAATTTAGCATTATTTTTCTATAATGTCAACAATGTATTTTTGATAACAAAACAAATCTCTACGCATTCTTATCAATAATTTCAACATTTGTTTTGTAAAGTTACACTGATTTGATCATCGAGTATTTAATTAACATTTATAAGTAAATAAAAATTATATTTGTCAGATTACATTAATTAAACTCCCTAAGCTTGTACCAGATTGGTGCGATATTGAGGTTAGGTAATAAACATTTCTACACAATCTGCCGAATAATCGTATCGCGCTATTAACAAATTGATCTTGAACGCACAATTACTTCACATCTCTATCAGATTTGTCAATTGTCAAATTACGTTAGACGCATATTCTTAGATTGTTGTAAATAAACAGCTGACTGCATTTATTTAAAAATTTGACGATGTTATTGATGATCTTACGACTGTCAATTGTATAATTAAACGTAGTAATAAGAAAGAAAAATTAAAATTAAAAGGAAGGAAAATCGATAAAAATATGTTTTATCAATACAAATATCTGTGACAAATATCGACTGACTTACAAGGAAATTCATGATATACAAAGTTAAATTTAGACTCACCGTTATGATTGAAATATTGGTAGTTGTATGAGTGTGAGCTATGAGAGTCGAGCTTTCTATCTTTTCTAACTCAAATAGATGCTTGCATCATTGCAAGTGCAGGAAGTGTAGATGATGAAAGTATTCATTGAATATAAGAATGCATAGCGCATTGATAACGTATTTTCTCTAGTTTATTTTTTATTGATTTATTTTTTTAAAAGTAATAAATATTTTTCTAAATTTTATAAATTTTCTAACAAATAATCATAATTAACTGATTACTGATGGTTGATCAGTGATTATCGATATTAATGTCGGTAACGTTCATCAGTAGTTTCAGTAGTATCAGATGTCAGTAATTATCGACGTTACTGTAAAATTAAAAATTAAAATTAAAATTTAATTAAATTTAAGATATGATTAATATAGCGATTGTTAATATTAATTAATGTCCTCTCATGTCAAAATGTATTATTCTGATACCAACAATGCATGTGTGAAAATTTGAATAAGGTTTTCTGTGAATTACTAACACAACAAAAAAAAGATATACCGCTACATAAAACAAATGCCATCGAAATTTGTTCAACGCACTCGAAACTGAGGAGGATCACTGATCATTCTTCAATAAAGCACGGTGGAGTTAGGAAGACGTAAGTGTTTTATGTTATTACTGTATATTATAGCATTTTTTCTTAGCTAATAGATGCATTATAACATTATAGCGTATTCGATTTGCTAACTTTAAGTTGAATCGAGTCGAGAAAAAGAAAAACAGATAAAGTGATAGAGAAAAAACATGAAATAAAGAGGATAGAGCCAAGTGTCGAATCGACAAATTGAAAATGCTATTAGAATTTGCAAGTCGTAATAAAAGTTTTTCAAAGTGTTCCTTATAATATATTCTTATATATAATAATACTATTGTTAATAAGGAAGAAATGTATGCATATATATATATATATATATATATATATATATATATATGTGCGTATAAGAA